CTTCTCCAAATGACAAGTTTTTCAGATGGATGTGTCTTCTGATGGTGAGCTTCTATTTCTTCAAAGATGACATTTTTAGAAAGCTATCAAAGCTATGTTGATATTTTTTTGCAAGTAACAGTTAAAAATAAAACTTAGAATGAACCTTTTTCCTTATGATACTATAAGAGAAAATCGGGGAAAATCTGTAATTAACTTCATCTTCTCTGGGACAATCTGTACATTGATAGTAGACAATCAGTACACTGCATCAGAAATTGAAATCATATTTTTTTTAGTGTTTTCCTAATCTCCTTAAAAAAGTACTTCCAGCTCTAAGTTAACTTAATTTGCACATTTGAATAAGTATTCTATAATTAGAGAAATAACATTTAGATATTTGAATAATATAAAAAAAATCACTTCCCATGACTTCCTTGCTTCGGAAAAGTTTCTATTTTTAGGATTGGTCATTAAAATTCATATTGCCTATGGGAGGTCAATGATAAAAATGTATGAATGAAAAGGGAGGTTGCATAATTATTGACACAGATTTTCATTAATTCATATATAATTACCCTTTTGATGTTCTCTACATAGGAAAATCGGGAAAAATCAGTAATCAATTGGGGAAAATCAGTACTGTAATCGGGGGAAAATCACTTTCTGCCGTACTCGGTTACAGGCAGTGATCTAAATACATAGATATAGGAAGATGTGGTATGAGTGCCAATGAGACAACTCTCCATCCAAGTTACAATTTATAAAAGTAAACCATTATAGGTCAAGGTACGGCCTTCAACACGGAGCATTGGCTCACATTGAACAGCAAGCTATAAAGTGCCCCAAAAAATTACTAGTGTAAAACCATTCAAACGGAAAAACCAACGGTCTAATCTATATAAAAACGAGAAACGAGAAACACGTATGAACTACATGCTTAGATTCAGCATATCAAAGAACCCCTAGAATTCAATTTTCACAAAAATCAAACTTTGTTTAATTTTGGACCCTTTGGACCTTAATGTAGACCAATTTGAAAACTGGTCCCAAAATAAAAAATCTAAATACACTGTTAGATGAGGTATACCAAAGAACCCCAAGAATCCCTTTTTTTTTTTAAATCAAACAAAGTTTTAATTTTGGACCTTAATGTGGACCAATTTTAAAACGGGCCCCAAAAATAAAAATATAAATACACGGTTAGATTAAGTATATCAAAGAACCCCAATAATTCAATTTTTGATGACATCAAACAAAGCTTAATTTTGGACCCTTTGGACCTCAATGTGGACCAATTCAAAAAACGCGAACAAAAATCCAAAATCTAAATACACGGTTACATTCAGCATATTAGAGAACCCCAAGAATACAAGACTTTGAATTAAACCACATTGAAATTGGTCAAGAAATAAGCAATTTATACAAAATATTAGAAAAGTATTGTTTTGGCCCCTTTTTTCCTAATAACAATCCCAGCCTTAAATTTTGATTGATTTCGCTTTTCCTCACAAACTGAAATAAACAATAACAATTTTGTTTTAGTCAAATTGTTCCTTGAGACATGTTGTAACTTTAAAATTTAGGTCGAAAGAGTATTAAGCCTTTTAATAGTTTTCTCCCCTGAAAAAAGTTGCATGGTGATATAACTCATGAACCATATATATTTGGTGGCTGGATAACTAATCCTTCACCATTCATTTGATACCTAAATTATCAAAATAAATTCTACATTGTTTGATATTTACACCTTTGCGTAGGAACTATTTTGTAAAAAATATTTACTACTTTCCGGTATGTTCTTTTTTGACCGGGCCCGAGTTTGTAGTGTTACATCTTACATAGTCTACCCGAATTATTTGCCCTATACATACGTTATTTCCTGACTAGTTATCGAACATATATCTCGATGCGCACTGTAGTTGTCTAAATGTTTGTATTGGTTTTTTTTTTGCACGCTTAGTGTGATTGTCGGGCTAAATTATGACAGAACATGTTTGATTTCTTTGCCAGATTTATTTTATTGATATTACTCCATGGCTTTGTTCTTCAATTCACAGTTGTGACGTGATCGTCAGTTTGCATAGAATTCCATCCAAGCCGGTGCTATGGGCCGTCTTAAACTTGCAGTGAGATGAGAGTTTTTTTCGCTCCGTGTTGAAGGACTCACTGTGAATTTGAGATGAAGAACAGCAATAAAATCGCTGTTCCTTTCCTTTTTTGTGTTTTTTGCTGTGCATATACTGATTTTGTGTCATAGATGGATACCCCATATCCTTTCTTTTCTATTTAGTAGAGACCTAGGGTTTATTGCTTTGAGATCCTTCCTTTATGGCCTTGTAATTGAGGTCAAGGTCAAATGAAAATTTCATGTTCTAGATTTTGACCTTTATCATAACTTCATATTGGTACATGATAAAGCAATAATGTTTTTGCATTAGTTTTGGAGACTTGTGACCTTGAAAAATGTCAACAGGAAGTGACCTTGAGTAGAGCGGAAGTAGCAAAATTTGCATTTCTTTCAGGAAAAAGAACCTAGAAACTGTATATATTTTTAATCGACATACATAAACCTATCATTTGAGACCGGAAGTGACATTCTGTAAACTAGAATTACCAAATTATCTCTCTTATTTCAGGCAAAGGTAAATCGAAACCATATATATTTGGAATGAGTGTGAATAAAGCTATCCTATGAGACCAAAAGTGACATTTTTTAACCGGAAGTAGCAAACTATTTCCCTCATCTCAGACAAAAGTACATAGAAACCATATAATAGAATCAGTATGGAGAAACCTAGGATGGACGACAATAGTAACTGAGAAAACCAGAAGTGATTTAGAAATTTAAATGGTGGAAAGTCCTTCAAATGTTGTCTGAACAATTGGGTTTTTAATTTTTAATGTTATGTTGTTTATAGAGCCCTGAAATTTAGAATCGATCTATGTTAATTCATTGATCCTTTGAAAAAATGTATTCTTAAATTTAACCATTTACTCATTTTTAAATATTGCTTTTATCAGTACTAACATTGATTTTGTTTTGAAAAATTAGAATGTAATTAAATATATATTGCGATATGTGCACAGTTATGAGTACCTTAATCCTGTTTACTTAAATTTTGGCATTACTTTGCACAAGGTCATGCTTTTCTCAGACTGCTTATGACAATTTAACACTAAATACGTTGAATGTAACCTAATTGATATTTTAGTCTGGGAGAACATGATTTTTTAAAAGTTGTAATTGGCTTTGAAACAGCTTTATATTTGTTTTACAGTTTGTTCTTATATTAAGCTTTGCCATCAGAGTCCCAGGTTAGGGGAGGGTTGAACGCTCACACACATGTTAAGCCCGGATACATTCTTTATGTATCTGTCAGTGGTTGTTTTTGGTTCATGTTCGTCATATTTGTTTTTTTAAATTATATTGTTAAAAATAAGGCCGTTAGTTTTTTCGTTTGAATTGTTTCACATTTTGCATTTCGGGGCCTTTTATAGCTGACTTTACAGTTTGAGATTTTCTCATTAATGAAGGCAGTATGGAGTCCTATATCATAATTGCTTCTATCCACGTCATTTGAACTCTGGTAGGTAGTTGTCTCATTGGCAACCATACCACATCCTCATGTTTCTTTACTGACTTTAAACAAAACTCCAATAACCTTATGATCTCATTGTTTTTTATGTCGAAAAACTTATGAAATCATAAAACACTGAAGCGAACTACTTGGAGGGAGGTACTCATTGAACCAGTTTACCTACTGCTTGAAAAAGAGCAAAATTAGGGCAGAACACTTCAAGACAAGTGTTCTTCCCTCATTTCACTCTTTCTTAAATATTAGTGCCCAAAATGGCTACATGCTTTCAAGTTTATTAACTGCTATCATTTTTTTATCAAATGAGTTCTAACAGAAAATGTGCCTGTCTTGTGCGCTGAAGTCATATTCACATATATAATCGTGTAAACAGCAAAGCTTCGTGGTGCCTTTATTTTCAAAATGATTGCTATGGGGATACAGGGCGGGCAGATTCAGATGGGAGCATACTCAACATCCTCCAAAAATCGAAAAAAAAATAGTTTTTAGCATAAAAGTCGTCAAAATATTATAAAAGCACTTCCTCTTTCCCCTGTATTTGAGAGATAACATACATAAGTAATTCCATAACACTTAACCAAATGTTTTGTGTATTTAGAAAATCTGATGATGAAATTTTGATACTTATCTTGATACCTTGCATCACCTGTTCCCACAAATGACAGGGTCCCCCTCTTTAAACTGTATACACCTTTTGTATGGCTTTCTACTGGGTACAAAAAATACTTTCTCTTTTTAAATATTCCAATGTTGGTCTAATGGGGTGTCATAGGAATTTTGGATTTTCGGAATATCGGGGCTGCCCCCACACGGTCATGCTTTTTTTCTGATTGTTAATGCGGTATTTAAACTAACTCCTGTTTGATATTTTAGTCTGGGAGAACATGGTTTATATATTATTAGGAACTGAATCTGATGAGTCGAGCCTAATCCAATTGATGTTTATGGTTTATCCTTATGTTTTGCAGTTACACTACTGTCCCAGGTTTGGGAAGGGTTTTGAGCTATCAAACATGTTCCACCCCGCCACATTCTTTAAGCCCCTGTCCCGAGTCAGGAGCCTGTAATTCAGTGGTTGTTGTTGGTTGCTGTCCGCATATTTGCTAAATTGTTTATTGTGTTTAGCATTAATCAGTGCTGGTTTTCTCTTTTGAATCAATTCACATTTTTTCATGCTGTGGTTTTTTTTTATAGCTTTCTATATTGTATGGATTTTGCTTATTGCTGACGTCTGTACATGAAGTGCTCTATAGATGTTAATATTCTCATCTTTCGGTCTCTGGTGGATAGTTGTTTCATTGGCATTAATACTATATCTCCATATTTTTATATGGAACTTTTATAACACTGTTTTAAATATGCGAATCCCTTTTTTTGAAATTTGTACTCTCTGAAATAAATGTAAATGAGATAAACACTTACCTACGAAGTCGTTAGTTTTTCCAATATCTCTGTCCCACACAGTTATCTCTAAAGTCTTTTTAGCGAGCTCATTATGTTTGATTTCATATACAAATTCCTGGAAAAAAACCTTTATATATATATTATGTCTTTGATAATACTGTTTACTTAAACATTTTGGTAAGAGATCACTTTTTGGCAATCATGACAAAAAGGACTGGCTAAATGTTTTTTCAACAAAGAATGCCAATGGGAACCAACTTTACTCCTCTTCTTGCCGACTTGTTTCTTTATTCAGACGAGGCTGACTTCATACAGGACCTTCTTAGAAAAAACGAAAAGAAGCTAGAATTATCATTTAACTTCACTTTCCGCTATGCAGATGATGTCCTCTCACTAAGAGAGTGACTTAAATTTTGGTGTCTATGTTGAATGCATCTATCCCATCGATCTTGAAATAAAGGATACAACAGATACAGTTAAGTCTGCCTAATATCTTGACTTACATCTAAAAATTGACAATGAGGGTCGGTTGAGCTGATTTCAGCTTCCCAATTGTGAACTTCCATTTCTTTGTAGCAACATTCCAGCAGCGCCTACATATGGAGTATATATCTCCCAGTTGATACGATATTCTAGGGCTTGAGTTTCCTATCATGATTTCCTTAATAAAGGGTTACTGCCCACAAGGAAGCTATTAAACCAAGAGTTCTAAGTGGTGAAGTTGAAATCATCCCTTCGAAAATTTTACGGACGTCATAACGAGTTGGTTGACCGTTATGGAATACCTGTTTCAGAGATGACGACGGATATGTTCCAATCGTCGTAACCAAAATTCAGTCTTCCTTTTCCCCGAATGTGACCTACAGTATTATACTCATCACCGGGTTTGTACTTACATGAGCAACACGACGGGTGCCACATGTAGAGCATGCTTACCCTTTTGAAGCTCCGGAGATCACCCCCGGTTTTAGTGCGGTTCATGTTGCTCAGTCTTTAGTTTTCTATGCTGTGTTTTGTATAATGTTGTTTGTCTTTTGGTGTCTTTCTTTTTTTTTTTGCCATGGCGTTGTCAGTCTATTTTCGACTTATGAGTTTGAATGTCCCTTTGGTATCTTTCGACTCTCTTCTGCTACTGAAGATTGCTTGTATTTTTTATGATTTTAGATTCCAATTTAAGATAACAAATATATCAATAAAAATGCGTTCCATGGAACCCTGTGTCTTAACTGTCAGTTTAAAAGTGTAAAGTTTACTGTAATGTTTTCATTTTTTTTTAAATCAAGCTGTTTTCTTCAGATGCTATTTCTTGATTTTGAAGATTCTTTCCAAGTTTCATAACAATCCATGGAGATCTGAAAAGTTATCATACCCAAAAAATATATTCCCAGACTATCTGAAAATGTTAACTGCAAAAAGCTAATATAAAAGTAAGAGGATGTGGTATGATTGCCAAAAAGAAAACTCTCAACCCGAGACCAAATGACGTAAGTCCATCTATCAGTTAATCAAATACTTAAAAATGAAGAAAAAAAAATAAATTCAAAATTTTGCTTCAAACATAATCTCATAAATGGGCATTAGCTGTCAAATTCATGTTCACCGATTTGACCTAAATTCTCATATTTGATTTATTACATACAAAAACGTATATCCAAATTACAAAAAGTCTAAAATAAACATTTAAGTTTCATCATAACAAACAGAACTGTTGAATGACAAAACAATGCCGGACTTTTGAATGCCTACAAAATTAAATTATACCAAACCCAAACATCGATTTTTTGTTGTTTATATAAAATATTAATCCCATTTTTTCTACTAAATCAATGTTGAAAGCACTGCAAGTTATTGATTGAAATTTACCAACAGTAGAAATGAACGTTCCATATTTACATAAACAACTCGGGGAAAAAATGGGACGCGTATATAAGACAGTTTCGATTATATATTAAATAAATGTACAATACCTTATGATCACGTCTATGGGATACGACAAATGAAATTGACTTTTGTATTGGATAAATGAATCTAAATGTCAATTTGCGGACCAACATTTGAGAAATCATGGATATGGCCATTTTTTCCAACGTAGTGAAACAGTAGTTTTACCAATAAATATAACTTTGCATATTTATGAGATTTCTTAGTTAATATTGGAACTTGTTCAACACAAGAGTGCACACGCTAAAATGTCTCGCCTGCTTTACTGGCCATTGATTTTATGTTGAAAGTCTTAAAGATAAAGGTTTTACCAAAAGCATTACAGAAACTTAACATTTTAAAAAATCTATGACAATGAGGTCAAGGTCAGATAAATTGTGTCAGACAGAGATATACACCTTAATTTTTTTTATACTCCAAATATAGTTGACCTATTGCGTATGATAATTGAAAAACAGACCAAAACACAAAAACTTAACATTGACCAATGACCAATAAATATGAGGTCAAGGTCAGATGATACCTGCCAGACAGACATGTGCACCTTACAATTATTCCATACACCAAATATAGCTGACCTATTGCTATTAGTATTTGAAAAACAGACCAAAACACAAAAACTTAACATTGACCAATGAACCATGAAAATGAGGTCAAGGTCAGATCATACCTGCAAGACAGACTTGTACACCTTACAATCATTCCATACACCAAATATAGTTGACCTATTGCTTATAGTACTTGAAAAACAGACCAAAACACAAAAACGTAACATTGACCAATGAACCATGAAAATGAGGTCAAGGTCGGATATAACCTGACAGACTGACATGTACCCATTACAATCATTCCATACACCAAATATAGCTGACCTAATGCTTATAGTATTTGATAAACGGACCTAATCACGTAACTTAAACCTTGATCACTGATCCATTAAATGAGGTCCAGGTCAGGTGAACTCTGTCTGAGGGACATGTAGACATTGCAAGGAACATATATAATAATATACAAATTGTTTACGCCGCCGGATAGTAATACCTATGTCTCGCATACTGCGACTTTCGTCGCAGGCGAGACAAAAATGAACCTGTTAGACGTAATCAATGCACAATCACAATAGCAATTACCATTGCGGTCATAAAAGTTTCGAGGAAGATTATCGTACTCAAGACTCAGAAATCAACCAATCAAAATAGTGAATTTGATGTTTCGAGCACACATTTTGTACCCCGAGTACTGAGTATAGTTTTATGACCGTGGGCCTAGGTGTACAGAACTGAATACTTTTGAAAAAAAAAACAATATAGCTGCTACAGGATACAGAATAATAAACTTGGAGTGTTTACAAAAACATGTTTCTGAGATACACGCTATTATATGTGATAAAGCAAGAGAAAAGGCTATTGCCGGTGCAGTTCCAATAATTTTTGAATCACAAGTAGCTCATTTTGAACTCGCTGTCATTCTCGCTGAAAAAAGTACTGGATGTGGAAAGAAATTTCATTTTGAAACAAGCCCATAGTTGTTGAACGTGGGATCAAGACATTAAAAGACATCAACGTCAGAGCTGTGTGGGGTTCTATAGTCAGTGGAAATAAGTTCACCTCAATGAACAATTGGCCAGCATGGACTCACCAACTATGGCATAAAACACATATAGTATTATCGAACATGAGATTAATCAGTGGTGAAAAGTTATGGTAGACGAAGAAATGTTAGCATCCATAGACTTAGAGAAAAATGTTGCAATAGAAAAGAATAGATACCATGAAGGTCTGCATAATTAAACAAAACTATGATCATGGCCAAATGACTATGCGAGCTGATTTAAAAAAAAAACATAATCCAAAACAAAGAACATAATCCAAAACAAAGAACATAATCCAAAACAAAGAAACAATACAAGAGTGCACACGCTAAAATGTCTTGCCTGTTTTACTTATCATTGAATTTATGTTGAAAGTCTGTTACATGAAGGTTATACTACAACGAAGTATCACATAAACTTAACATTACCAATGTTCTATGATAATGAGGTCACGGTCAGATGAACCAGGCCAGACAGACATGTACACCTTATAATCATTCCATACACCAAATATAGTTGACCTGTTTCTTATAGTATCTGATAAACTGACAAAATTACGAAAATTTATCATTGACCAATGAACCATGAAACTGAGGTCAAGATCAGACAACACCTGCCAGACAGACAAGTAGACCTTACAATTGTTCCATACACCAAACATAGCTGTCCAATTGCTATTAGTCTTTGGGAAACCGACCAAAACACGAAAACCTAACATTGACCAATGAACCATGAAAATGAGGTCAAGGTCAGATGATACCGGCTAGCCCGACATGCACACTTTACATTCATTCCATACACGATACATTGCATAAGGATAGAAATTTCTAGAAAGTAATTATATTTTCAAACTAGAGGCCAAACCTTATATAATGTGAAAAATCAACATAAGCAAAATAGGCATTTTCGTCTGAACTACAAGGGCCCAGCTGAACATTGAGTAGCATTTGATATTGGGCCCCTGCTATTATTTTTTCCTGATTTTATTTACCCTTGATTAAGACCCCTTCATGAAATGGGCCCCTCAAAGAGTTGTTGCATGGGTTCTTTACGGCAGAGAGCATGGAACTGTTTCAACACAAGACATGCGATGTACATTTGCAACGTGCCATTCTGATTTTAGATGGGATTTGATATGTATAACACATATAGTCAATCATCCCACTTTATCAAGGATTGTACACCCGATCAGAAAATGCCAGGGTTTGTTGAATATTTGTAATTTACCGTGGATGAATTTTGTTGTAAGAACATTAAATCCATATGACATACACATAGAGAGAATCTATAAGGAAACTTTACTTTGGCAAACAGAGATGATTCCAAAAATTACAACTTTCTACTATAAAGCTTTACTACCAGAGTTAGCTTCTCCACGCTTCAACAAATACCCTGGAATAAGAGAATCTGGCATATGGGTAAGGAAGCGTTAAAAGCGCTTTTATACATGTAGGAATAATCTTCTACATGCACTCTCATAACCCAAAAAATGAAAGTCTAGATTCTATAAGTACTTAAATACGTGATAATATATATAACAAAAGTGACATATATAATAGCCCAATCATTCTTAGGTCAAGTTTACATCAGAGAGTTATATCTTTAGTTTATTGATAAATATATCTATGTAGAATTGAAGAACGGTTCGTTTAAAAATATGTCATTACCAAAGCATTGACTACAAAACTGTTGAAACCCTTTAGGATAGTTTATCCGCCAAATGCTGTAATGTATTTGAAATTTAAAATTAATGGTTTAAAATAACTTGATTTCATTTATCTATATCTAGCCATACTTATGTAGATGGAAACAGGTGAACAACAACACTGTAAAAATAAGGATGTCTGATTTTGATAAGTAAGATTGTTCTAGTTATTAATGCTTGTAATATAGGCATTCAGAGTTTTCAAATAAAGTAGATCATAGTGTAAAATATTGATCAATTTGATACTGCTTTAGTGGTAAAAGACTGTGATGCATATTTTTTTATTGTATAATGTAAATGAACAAACACTTGTTTGGTTCAAATAGGTGTGGCTTTGTCCACAGGAGATACCAAAATTAAGTTGGTAGCATAAATTATGTTATGATTTATACAACACACATAAGTTATAAGCAATGTAAAATTTCCTATTGTGTACAAATTAAAGTGTTTTGTTAGAATATGACAAAAAAATTCTTGTAATCAGGGTTGGCAAAGTATTTCCCGGGCGGGAAAAACCGGGTTTTCCCGACTGGGCAATACTCCTAGAAACGGGTAATACTGGGCAATACTGGGTAATATGATTTTTCAAGCTTATTTTTACACAAAATAGTAAAGACTTGTTGTAGTTAAATAGCATTATAGCTAAATATATACATTTTATACAGATAACCATTGAGAGTCATTCCTGAAGATTGAAAATTCAATTTCTTCCTTTTCTCCACTAATTCTATGTAGGCAGAGTACAAGTTTTTGACATATCAGGATACCTTGTTAATTTCCAAGCTTTGTTTCAATATTAAATCCAAGTTGAAAAATGCATTTTATTGCAGTGTTTAAGTGAATTGTTAATTTTAATTGTTATACAATCATATTGCTAAACAAACACCCTAAGGGGACCGGCCATGAACATTTATAGAAATCAAATTGCTGATAATTGTAATATAAACAAATCTGTATTATTATCTGAATATTACTTATTAATTAGTGATGTACATAAACATATGCTCAAACTTAGTAAACATTTTTAGTAACGAACAAAAAATGTTTAAAAGTAATTTTCCTTACATAGATTTGTTAATTCTTATAATATTAGTTATATTTATTTAAAAAAAAAAAATGAATTCTTCGACTTTAGTGTATTGCATTTGTGATTAATCACTGAATCCTCTTTGAAATTCAGGCCAGTATTTCATATTACCCAGTATTACCCGGTAAAACCCAGTAAAACCCGGGTTTTCCCAGTATTTCCCACTGGGCTGGGCAATACTCATAAAACCCGGGTTTTTGCCAGCCCTGCTTGTAATACTATTTAAACCTTAGACAAACATTATATGACTAATCAGTTAGTGGGACATTCAAACTCATAAGTCGAAAATAAACTGACAACGCTATGGCAAATAAAGAAAAAGACCAAAAGAAAAACAACTGTACACAAAACACAACATAGAAAACTAAAGACTGAGCAACACGAACCCCACCAAAAACCGGGGGTGATCTCAGGTGCTCCGGAAGGGTAAGAAGATCCTGCTCCAAATGTGGCACCCTTCGTGTTGCTCGTGTAAGTTCAAACCCGGTGCTGAGTGTTATTCGGTAGGTCTCATTCGGGAAAAAAAGGGTAAGCAATAATCAGAAAAACAGTGGTTTGGTAGATAACTCTGACAAAAAAAGTGTCTCGTTAAGCGGTGTCAATTTGGAAAGAATAATTACATGTACAAAATATGAAAGCAAAATTTTGCAAAACAACATAATTGCCTTCCAAAAAAATTTGACAGTGGTAACTCTTAAACTGATCTCATCATAAACTGTATTAATTGTTAACAATCTGCTATGAGCTACTATGATGATGCAAACATTAATTAATGTTTTGTCTGTTGGTCTTTTTCTTTTTTAGCCATGGCGTTGTCAGTTTAATTTCGACTTATGAATTTGAATATCCCTTTGTTATCTTTCGCTTATCTTTTAGATATCACAAGATTTTCAAAATTATTTTGAAACATCAATTTATACATTTATTTGCAAAAACTTTGCAAATAACTAGTGTTTGTCATATTTTTATCAATAGACAGGTATCATGTTTTATTCAACCATACCTCGTTATATTCTGGATTCAAAGTTTTCTTTTTTACAGCAGTTTTAAATTTAGATTTCTTGTCTTTGTCTGGTTTCAGATACCTACAAAATATCAAATCAAAATTCTGCCAAACTTGTACATATAAATGTGTGTTCAGTGTCATATCTTATTTCATTTGCATAGGTTTGACATGCATGTGTAATGTTTTGCTGTCTAATAATTCATGTTATTGAATATAATTCTGTTGTATATAACTCATTTCAAATTATTCTCCTGAGATTGATATACATAGTCAATATTTGAACAGCTTTCAGATTAAACTTATTTTTTATGCCCCACCTACGATAGTAGTAGGGGCATTATGTTTTCTGGTCTGTGCGTCCGTTCGTCCGTCCGTTCGTCCGTCCGTCCGTCCGTTTGTCCCGCTTCAGGTTAAAGTTTTTGGTCAAGGTTGTTTTTGATGAAGTTGAAGTCCAATCAACTTGAAACTTAGTACACATGTTCCCTATGATATGATCTTTCTAATTTTAATGCCAAATTAAGAGTTTTGACCCCAATTTCACGGTCCACTGAACATAGAAAATGATAGTGCGAGTGGGGCATCCGTGTACTATGGACACATTCTTGTTGTTTCTTAATTTTGTATATTTATTTATTTTATTGTCTATACTGAGGTGAAATTACAAGATCTGATCAAAACATTTATAGACAGAGTTAGTCAAATCGATACTGTTATAGTTACACAGACTTTTAATTTTGACAACTTCTTTAAAAAAAGATCAACTACTTAACCATATGTTGTAGTTTGCAGACACATCTTTTTAGTTGCACAAATTGAAACGGTGCTAATACAAATTGCTAGAAACACTTTAAACTCTGTATTATAACATGCATTATGGATACTGAAATTTACAAAATCATCCGGAAATTTAGTGTTTTAAATATGTAGAGATGTCAACTACCGCTAGGGGAAAATAACGGGAGGTAATTAACCGGCCAAAATTCCTAACCATAATCTTTCTTGCGTTAAGTCGCATAACAGGTTATTGACAACACGTCAGTTACGAGGGGAATGTGTGGGAAACACCAAAAAGACTAGTTGTAGCGTGTCATTGGTTTCTTAGGTACGCAAGAAAAGGATATTTTGGAAATATTGTTCAACACAGCTTAAACCTCTATAAACCATTCAACTGTATATCAAAAAAATATGCCAAAACAAATAATATAAGTTTTACTCGCATAATAAACTGGACCCGACCGATCCGTGTTTTTTTTTAAAAGGCTGAAAAAATACTTTCCTTTTGGCTATAGTTCGTGTTGTATTTGAGAAATTTAAGTCATTATCAAAACTGGAAAACAAAATAAACAATTTTTATAATATATAACAATTAAGAGCAGATAAAATATATTAAAATGTAATATAAAATATCAGCTGCAATTCATAATGCAGCTTTTTATGGAGATAATTGAATGAGCATACAAAAAAGAAATGCATGATAGTCAATAACAGTTAACTCCCCTTGCATATAAGTTTAACTACGAAGGTTACCGGTATTATTTTACAGATACAACTTCTATGTATTATTTCATTTTATTAAAATCTAGATTTCTGCTTAATATCAAGTCAATATCTTTATAGCATTTGTGTAGTAAACCAACTTAATAACCCAAAAGGCCAATTTTCATTTATATTTCATATTTTTAATTTTTAATTTTTAATTGATATGCCTAAATAATGTTTCCAAATGAAAAATAAATAATAGCCTCTAATTTGTTTTATTGACATATTGGACAGAAGATATATAGTAGCATATAAAATGACACTTTGAATGGCTTATAATTACTCAGTATCAATGAAAACCCTGTTATGAAAACATATTGTGTTGCTTAAAAGGGACCTGTCTAATGTTTCCTTTTTATATCTAGTTTGTGTGCTTTGATGTCCAATTTTAGAATAGTTGTATTTTATTGGGCCAAAAACATGTTTGAGATAATATATATCAATCAATCTCTAACCAAATATACCAACACACTTTGACTATTCAAAATAATATGGAAACACAATTACATTCTGGCAACAGTATTGATTTGCTGATTTTCAATGAAAAACTGTTATGTTTTTAATAAGTTGATAAGTCTCTGTATTAAAAAAAAAAATTTTCAATTTCAAACTAGGAAAAAAGAAATTAGCTGGTTACATTGACCTTTTGAGATATGGTGTCACTTTTAACCTATATAGCTCTGAATACAAAATAGTTTTATACAAATCTTTGGTATTTTTAGTGACAAAAAAGCCATACATAGGAGTGACATGAACTTTTAAACAAGAGTCCCCTGAACTTGTATCGATCACCTAGCATTTTTGCCAAAATAAATGGATACATTACAATAAGATTAGGTGTGTTGAATATATAAACTATGAGGACCAAAATCTGTCTTGCTAGATTAATTTTCAGTATATCATTTATCGTTATAACGATAATTAAAAAAAATAAAATGGGTTAAAATTGTGAGTTTCTGCTAAACAAGTACTATCTTTAAAAAAGACATCTGTGCGTTCAGATGGGGGCATTTTTTGAAACATCAATTTTTTTATGACTTTTTGATCATATCTTAATGCCTAAAATTTAATGACAAAAGTCTGATGAACCCTGATAGATATGTACATCTATAAATACACCAAATGTAGTTGACCTATTGCTTATAATATTTACAAAACAGACACAAACACAAAAACTCAACATCGACCAACGAACCATGAAAATGAGGTCACGGTCAGATATATAAAACCGGTAAGATTGACATGTACAACTCACAATCGTTCAATACACGACATATACTAGTGCTTTTACTATCTGAGAAACGAACCTTATCAAGTAACTTCAACCTTGATCAATGATCCATGAAATGAGGTCAAGGTCAGGTGAATCCTGTCTGACGGCCATGTAGACCATGCAAGAAATCCATATTCCAAAAATAAACATCCTATTACTGATTATAAGTGAAAAGTTTACATGACAAAAAACTACACACTTTTTTAAGCAGTCACTGAACCATGAAAATTATGCCAAGGACAAATGGACTTATGGCAGACGGAAACTTCGTAATATAAAGCATCTGTATACAAAGTATGAAACATCCAGGTCTACTATCCTTTTTAATACATGTATAAAGCTTTATACAAATAGTTTATCCTGCCAGCACTGCCTTATTGTAATACCTATGTCTGACAGTCGCTGGCAAGACAAAAATGGGCAACACACTTTAAAAGCAATAACTCCTATATTGGCCAATTGGACTATTTCCGTCATGTTGACATATTTCTAGATCTAATTTGCTGATATATAGACAATTTCATCCATCATGACTTATTTTTAAATCTTATTGTGTTGGCAAATGACTTTTCCCGCCATAATTACTGATTTGTATATCTTATTTTGCTGAACATTTTTGCTTTTATTGTTTCGCTCTATCTATCAGTTTTGTAAAATTGGGTAAAAATTGTCTTTTAAGGACGATCTCTCCTATACGGGTCAGTTGATTATTTCCGCCATGTTAAATTATTTGTAGATCTTGTAGTTGCCATATAACTAATTTGTATATTTTATTGCGTTGAACATTCATGCTATCTACAGTTTCTCTCTATCTATCATAGTTTCTGCAAAAACTGCAAAAATTGATAAAAACCGTCTTCAAGGGCAATAACTGCTTAAAGAGGTCAGTTGACTATTTCGGCTATGTTGACTGATTTGGAGATCTTATTTTGCTGAAAATCTGTACTATATAAAAATTCTCTCTATCTGCTGTAGATTCGGCAAAAAATGCAAGAATGTGGGTAAAAAATCAGCTTTCATGGATAATAACTCTTATAAGGAATATATTGACAATTTCAACCTTGCTGACTTATTTGTAGATCTGATGGTGCTTAACATTTTTTATCAAAAAATTTTTGTGTTTCTCTATCAGTTTCTGCAAAAAAGCAAGATAAATTTGTCTTTCAATCAATAACTCACAAAAGGGGTTTATGGCCGTTATGACCGATCTGTTAATCTAATTGTGCTGAACATGTTTGCTTTTTGAAATTATAAATGTTCCTCACCTTAGCAGCAATATATACACTAAATTTATCCGCGCATGGAGTTTACATTTCTCAACTCACACAATATTCAAGAGGTTGCAGCTGCTACTCAGACTTTGTTAAACGTCATCGGTGTCTGAGCAAAAAAAAAAAATAATGAGCCAGGGTTTTATCAAAGAACGTCTCGTCTTGTTTCCTCATCGGAAAGTACCAAAACCTAATAGAAAAATATTCAGTGTCTACTTCACAAATTATACAAGATGTTCTTGAGGTAAAGATTCTAGATGCTGAAGTTGTGTAATTTTATTTTCTTAACAGTTTCCTTTTATTTGTTTTCATGCTATTATGTTTCTTTTGGTCGTACGACGTTACAGGATATTTATGCATCCCCCTATCATGTTTTTGACTTTGGGTGTTCCTGGTGTCCTAAAGTACGATTCGGACGCAAGAGGTTTTTACAGTAATGTTTCCATTTTGTTTACCCTTGTATTTATATTTTACTTCATTTGTACGTTATCAAGAAATTGTATACTATATAATGGTAAATTTTATGTATCCTCGTGTATTGTATTTTCGACCTACTAACATATTTCTCCGAATTTCCCTTTTATATGTTTGAACATAGACATGCCTAATATTTTAAGAGTCACTAGTATACTTGTGCATAAAATAATTGTATCTGAAATATATTTCGATCTTAAATTATTTTTTTATATGAGTTCATTAGATCGATGGCACGTTTGTTGACAAAAACTAGCGTCTTGTGTGTTCGACCTATCTAAGAAACTGGTCCAAAGTCGGAAATGACATGTCGTACAAATCCGGAATTGGTAAAAATTTGATGCCAATGTCTATATCAAATTATTTAAATTGTTAGGAGGCGATCAAACTTATGACTTAATGAATTAAATGGTTACATATACAAATTTAAGATAAAATATATTATTTTGATATCTTTATTTGACTAGTTGTACACATTTCACATGAGGCACTTTGGAAGCAAGTTTGATCTTGTATACAGTC